ATGTCACTATGGGTTGCCTGTGTTCGCAGCTTCTATCCGACAGCCCTTTCTACACAGCAGCTACTCCATTTGGCTTCCTTCCCCTGCCTTCGGGCCACATCCTCCTACCACGTTACTAGCCTTGGGGTACTGCACCATCTTTGAGTTTTCCCTATATCCTGCTTACATCTTTACAAATGGTCTTTGTATTCAGATTTCCTCAAGTTACCCAACTACAGATGGGCTGTTTCTTTTGGGGACTAATACCAGGTAGAGGTAATCAGGAAGGATACCATGGAGGTGACAGCTGAAGGTATTCTTGCCTGGACAGTATCTTTCTAAAGCACAAAACTGACCATATGTGACCTCTGCTCAAACCCTTTATAGCTCCCACTGCTCTGAGGATCAAGTCCAGACTCCTTAGCCTGGCACCCGAGACCGTGCACCATCTGGCCCCTAATGACCGAGCAGCATGTGGTGAAGTCTCTCAGAAGGAGGCAGTAGGGGGGATTGGAAGAGGAGGGAAAGAGTCCCAGGAGGAGTGCAGCCATGCCATGAAGCCCCCCTGCCTGACAGATTTTCGGATGGGGAAGGAGGAGGTGGGTCATTTCTGGACCACAGGCCATGCCAGGCTCTCCCCCTTGCCATAACTTCTGCCCTCCTATCCTCCAAGTGAGCTGAGCACTGGGAATGAGTTTGGCCCAGACAAGCCCTAGCCTCAGGATATGAGAACTGGTTCAAACCCTAGCCCCAACATGGATACCTGGCAAACTCTTTGATGCCCTGAGCTTCAGTTCTCCAAACTGCAAAATGGGAATAACCTCACAGGACTATGAGGGAAGTTTAAAGGAGGTAATGAATTGGAATTTGCTTTTGTCAAGTAGTTCCACTGTTTGGGGTGGTCCCTTTTTCAAGGTTTGTGAGGCAGAGAAAGCCATGAGCTGGCAGCTCAGGAAGACTTGAGTGTGAATCCCAGCCTTACCACTTACTGTGTTATCCTGGACAAGTCATTTCACCTCTCTGTACCTCATTCCCACAAAGTGGGTGATAATCACCCCTTACAGGGCGTCTGGGAGGATTGGATAAGCTCACACAGGCCAGGGCCTAGCATGGAGCAGGGTTCTGGGTAAATGTTTGCTTCTGCCTTTCGCCCTGTGCCTCTCTTAGGGCAGGTGTCCCCTCCGCCTTTCAGGCCAGCCACTTAGCCTCTTCATCTGTGAAATGGAGGGGCTAAGGCTGCCATTGCCACAAGGAGTCTCAGAGGGTCAAGTGTCCAACCCTTCAGAAACTACAAAGCTGCACCCATAATTCCTAATGTCATCATAGCATTGGTGACTAAAGGGGGGGAAGTGCCACCCTTGGTGAAACACCCCCCTCCCCAGGGTCAAGCCCTGCTTGACAGCTTGACTTGACCTGCATTTGTGGTTTGGCTGAAGCACCTATGGGCTGGGTAGGAAGACGAGGAAGGAAAGGTGACCCAGGTCCCAGAGCTGTCCTGCTTATCCACTGGCAGGAGGAGGGCAGGCCATTACAGGCAAGAATGTAGGGACTGCAGGATGTGTGGGGCGGGGGCCAGGAGAAGTCAGCGCCTGGTGTGAGCCCCCATGCTCATGTCACGCAGGGGAGAACAGTCCCAGGACACAGAAAGTTGCTAAGAAACTTCCTACTCTAATTCTAGCTCTGGTTTTGACACCCAAAGCCAATCCGGACCAAATTGCTTAAGCAGTAGCCATAGGCTTGGCAGCTGGGGGCCAGTAGGAGGGAGTTTTCACTCTGTGAGGTGGCTCAGAAGCAAGTGATGGCCCCTCTCAGCCCTTGGACTTCCCTCTGCATCCTTTGGTGGATGTTCCCTCCTGTGTGTGTGTGTGTGAAGAGCCCAAATTGGGACAGGTTTTATTGCCCCAATCCCTAAGCCCCACACCCCCTCCCACTTGACCTTTCTAACCTTCCAATGGAATCAAAGCACTCTTCTGCTCACACCCCTCCTTTGGTTCGACCCCCCACAGGATGAAGCCTAAGCTCCTTGGTTGGGTTATAATATCCTTCAGATCTGGCCCCTGTCAATCTCTCCAGCCACATTTCCTACTCCTTCCCTGCTTGTGTCCCTCTTCTAGCCCCACCAGGCTGGTCATGGTTCCCATTTCCAGGCCTCTGCCTAAACACCCTTCTCCTTCCTCTCTGCCTGGCAGAGTCATACTCATCATCTCAGATCCAGCGGCAATGTCATGTCCTCTCAACCTCCCCAATTTACCATTGCTCCTTGGTGCTTCTTAGCACTTTGTCCAAGACGCTAATTGTACTCATTCATTGGTCAGTTCACCACTGACCGAGCCACTATGCAGAGCCAGGGCCACACTGGGACACAGTGATGAAGTTCCTGCCCCTGGGGAGCTCCGGGCCCAGCAGAGAGGCAGACATAGAAGACAGGCAGTGTGGCAGCACAGGAAGAGCTGAGCACAGCTTCCCACATTCCCCTACACTGCAGCGTGGCTGTCTGGCTGCAACCACGGACTTTGGGACACCATCTCTTGGTTGGGTCTCCTCGAAGGCAAGAACCATGTCTGTGTCCCAATGAGAGCCAGGCCCAGGAAGGTGCACAGAAAAAAAGCTGCCGAAGCAGGTGAACTTAAGATCTGAATGTTTCAAAGTGGCCTTGGAGACCTGAAGTCTTGGCATTTAAGGTAATAGTATCTTACTTTTTGTAACACCGTGGTAACACCCTTTTTTTACATATTGTGATTTTATTTAATCCTTAAATATTCAAATGAAGTCAGCAAGATAGGAACTGTCATCTCCCTTTCATGATGCAGAAACTGAAACCTAGATTGGGATCATGACTTGCCCAAGTACACCTGGCAAGTCAGTGGTGTAGGAAAGGCCAGAATCCAAGCCTCCTGCCTCCCAGCCCAAGTTCTGGCCCTCAGATCACACTATGAGGTGAGTGGGTGGGCCATGGGTTCCAGCCAAAGGCCTCCTCCACAGGAGACCCCTCTGGAGTAGGCACATCCACACCTGGGGACCTTCCAGGCCAGCAGGAGCCTTGCCACCAAGAGGACCCCAAAAACACCTCTGCGGAGAGGATGCAAGAATCCAATGGCACCTTTAGCACCCACCTGGCTGCACTCGGCTTTACCCAGAAATACATCACACCTGTTCCTACCTTCCAGCCTTTGCACATGTCAACCCCTATGTCCCCCACAAACCTGGTATGCTACTAGCCTTCCCTCGGTTTTCTTAAAGGCACCAAGCTCTTTTGAGCCTCAGAGCCTCACCACATGCTCTACCTAGAATGCTTTTCCTTCTACTCTTTGTCAACTCATGCCTCAGGGCTCAGTGACATCTTCTCAACGAGGTTTCCTCCTTACAGCACTGAGAAGGTTGAACAAATAGAAGTGTTTCTAGGTCCCATCAGTGGCATTTGTCACATGCTGCCCTGGCACGGTGACTTCTGTCATGTCCCCACCCCACACACAATGGTGAACACCTCAAAAGCTGAGACTCCCTCTTCTCTTATACCGTGACCCCACAGCCAGCTTGCTCAAACTGTGCCCCCAAAATCTATCTTTCCTCTGACATGCTTTTTGCCCCTACCCCTTCCCTCACCCTCCACGTCCAATAAGCCATTCCACCACAGTCCAGTAGCTCTCACCTCCTACTACACCTTTCCCTAGGCTGGGCCTTCTCCTCCATTCCCTCCACCAGTGCCTTAGCTCAGAGCTCATCCTCTCCCACCGGGGTCCCTTCTGCAGCTCCTCATTGCCCTCCTGGCTTCCAGTCTCTCCCATCCAGTCCCCATTATGGTTGGAGCACTCTAAAAACGAATCTGACCAGTCATTTCCCTACTCAAAGCCACTCCAAAACCTACATTCCCACCCCAATGTCCCAAGACTGGCACTCAAGGACCTTCATGAGATCCAGGCCAACCCTCCTTTCCCACAGCTGCCTGCGCTTCAGCCACTCCAGGCACCCTAGCCCTACCCGGAAACACGCTGGCTTTTCTAAGACGTCATGCCTGTTCTGCTGCCTTGCTCCCAAACCTTCCATCTACAAAACTACTCGTCAGTGTGCAACAAAAATAATTTTGGAACACTTTCTGCAACAGTGCTAAGGCTCTTTTTATATCTAACCTCATTTAGTTCTTAAAGAACCTCACAAAATAATTATTCCCATCGTACAGATATGGAAACTGATGATCAAGAAAGGCAGGGCCAGAACTGGACTCCAGGTGTGATTCCAAAGCTGCTGTGCGCTAACTACTCTGGGAAAGGCCCCCAGCCCCCA